TTTTTTTTTTTTTTTTTTCAAAGAAAACGGATATTAGCGTAAGATTAAATAACAGGATTTTCAATTTCCGCGTATAACCAAAATTAAAGATTAAGATGGACCATAACACGGGACTTCCAATTGGGACGAATTCATCTGGTTGCGTTATATAGTCTATTCAAGAACGCCCATGGTATTTGCTCTCGGGCGTGGTAGCTGACTATACGGGGATTGACAATATATCACGTAGTTGTCTAATCAAACCGGAACGGAACATATTACATGTACTTAAAATTAAGTTTTTACACAAAATTGACTGCGCCTCATTTTTTTACACGAATGCACCTTTATACAAACAATTCTGCTGGTTAACATGGAAATTTATTACACAATAACTTATTTTTAGAAAATAAAAACAAAAGCCAAACTTAAAATAACTTTTGTATCGGAGTATTTGGAATTAATAAAATTAAAAATGGAATAAGTTTGAACCGAGATTTTACCGAAAATCTAAATAATTTTCATTAGTTTTTTTTTTTATTATTATTACAAATTCTATTAAATTATTTAAAAAGAAAAATTTACATTAATTTCTTGTACTATATGGGGGATTTTTGGGAGTAAAACCGCCATGTGGAGTGTAATAAGGTGGAGGAGTATATGAAGGAACATAAGGGGTTGACCCATAATTACTAGTACTTTTGTAGGTAGAAGTAGGTCTAGAATGAGATATAACAGTAACGTCTGTGGTTGAACTATTCCTGACATTTTCGTTGTTACTATTGTCGGTAACACTAGTAATATTACTAATTCTATTACCACCAAATTCATCTCTTTCGTCTCTTTCATCTCTTTCATCTCTTTCAACTCTGTCCATTCCACTTCCAGGTGTAGGAATAGCATGCTCTATATTATTATTTTCCCTATATCTTTTATAAAAAATCCATCCTATTATACTAGCTACAACTAAAAATACTATTATCGCACATACTATTCCTATTATTATTCCAATTGAAATTGGATCGTTTTTATCAGATGGAGAAGTTGAATTTGGGGTATATGATGTTATCCACGAAAATGTTTTTGTATCTAGCATATATATCCCTGAATTTATTTCTACAGGTGATGTTGCTCCATTAGTTACATTTCCTAATTGAAATAAAAAAAAAATTTAATACTTTAGAGGATAAAAGGAAAAA